TTTTCTCAAGTACCTCTCTGTTGAGAACTGATTTGTAAAAAGTACCGTTGCACCATAAAAAGTATCTAAAAAGTATCTTGAAAAAAAATAAAATGAAAACTTTGTGAGGATTATATTTACATTGATGAGGTGTTACAGATCAGGAGGACATAAATCAGATAAGGTATAAATCATAATTGGTGATATTTAGTCATGTTAAATTTCTTTCCTGATTCCCCTAAATTCATGCCCTCTTGGCAATGTGCATAGAGTGTGATTTGATACATAGTGCATGAGTTAACTCTTAACTAAGTGCTCAGGAATTATTTCATAGAGTTAAATAATTTTTTTATTAATATATTTAGAACCCCAAATTTCATAAGGGGAATGGAAGATTTTAGCAGTATTAAAAATGTAAACTTAATTTAGAAAAAGGCATCACAGTGAGGATTTAATAACATTATACAAATGAATAAAGACCAAGTATAAAGGATAATCCAGTCAAAATTGGACATCTATTTAGGCTGAAGACAAGAGATTTTGTTTACGATATAGGAAAGGGTTTGGGTTTTTTTACAGTAAAAACAATAAAGTAGATGTAATGCTTAAAGAAGTTGTTTTATCGAATTCTGTGCAGATATTTAAACAAAGTATAGATACTTTTTTTTAAAGCGGAATATTTAAAGATATAACAGTTAATATGTAGAGTGACAACTTTTTAATTCAAAGTGAAATCTGATAGCAGTTTTGGAGTCATTAAGGAATTTGTTTCTCATTTTGTTTGGCAAAATTGGAATTTGCTTCAAATTTGCTGAATATTTTGTCTTCTTTTTTTTTCTTTTTTTTTTCAACAACAATAATAGAGGCGTGAAAGCCTGAACTTGATGTAGTTTTTTTTCAGCCTGTATTACAAGCTAGCTATATAACTATGTGCACATATGTTTGTGTGAATATATTTGCCTGTATAGATACATAAGTATGTGTTTACTATGGGTGAATACATTTCTTTAAGTTGGACACTAGACCACATACATGCTACAATACTGACTCTGATATTAGTTTTATTTGTATTTAGGTTTTACTGTACCTCTAATGTAATTTCAGTCATTCTTTCAACTTCTAATTTCCTATGATTTATGACTTCATGATAGATAACAGATATAATTGATTTAAATCTCTGATTTTGTTCCTCTAGAACACAAATTCATTTTTGTACTTAAATATACCAATAAATAAAAATCCATACCTCCTTAATTAGAACCATCTCCGTTAATTCTACCTGTGATTTCTACCCAGTAAATATATGTCTTTTAATCAGTGGAGAATTTAGTCCCAGGAGTAAGCTCACTAGAGTCTGCAAAAAAATAATTACTTCTAAAGAGACAAAAGACACCAGGTGTATGTGGATTGTAAATTACATATCTGGGTGGAGGACTGTCCTTGGGGGCATTATTTTAAGGCTAAAATAGCTGACCCAGAAAAATCTCCAACATGGGAATATACACAGTTTGTCTTATTTTAGTGTCTCTCTGTGACAGCAAGTATTTGAGCCAGAGAGCAACTGCCCAAATATATAGGATCAAATTTAGGGGACCAGGTTAAAGGAACACTTGCTCTGTAGTTGTTATGGTGCCACTAGTGCCCTGGTTCCCCCTCTCCCCCTCCCCCCCCCCAAGTAGTCAAGCCATTTAGGAAAGGGTTTCATTTTTTATCGGGGGTTTGTCAGGCACCACTCCCTGCCTCTCTCCTTGCCTGAGAGTAAAGCTCCTACTAGGAGCTTCTGCTTGCTGTCCTGAGCTAAGTCCTGTAGTGCAGGGCTATAGCTCATTGGCCGAGACCATCAGGTGATTGCTCTCAGCCAATGAACTAAGCCAATATGCCACCTGAGCTGCAGAGCTTTCGACTCCATGAGAGACAGGGAGCGGCTCTCTGCAGACCTCCCGTGAGAAGTTAATCTGTTTTATAATAGTTTGAATATTTACATTGGGAGGGAAAGCAGGGCACTCCTAACATCACAACCACTATAGTGTGCTGTAGTGGTTATGGTGCTTGGAGTGGTGCGTTAATACACCTTAGGAGAGACTATGGGGTTCATTCAGATTGCACATTCAGAGTTAATTGCACTTGTATGCCAGGAGTTAATTACACACCTGGCACACATGACTTGGCAGCCTAGAACTTTGTTCTGGACTTTGTTCTGGGCTGTCTAATATCAATTCTGTTCATATTTTATGTCTGTTGACAACAGGCACAATAATCTTCTTCCCTGCAGGCGGTGCAAGTAGTTGCGTATACTAATCGTTGAGGTGTTGGTTGCTTAGTGATTCATATAAACATCATTTGGAAACTTTAAAAACATTCAGCAATGGCTCAGTCATTGAACATTATATGTTGTAGAATGGGAACGGCCAGTAGGTATCAACATAAGCGACAGACAAAGGTGTTGCTGGGTAGCAGAAAGACCAGGGGTTTCATCTCCAGGGCATATGTTCTGGCCCATCCCACATATACCGACATAACCCCACACTGTACCACACACTATGCCCAACCCTAAACTGTAACATGTTCTATGAACCTATGAATCACATTATGGTACCAAACCTTTGAATTCATTCAGAGCACTATTTAAATCCATATTTAGAAATATTTTACATCAAATATCTTTTAGTGTGCCCAGAAACAAGTCACCAAAGAACAAACCAAATCCGTGAAAGTAAGATCTCATCAATCTAATGACAGTTAGTTGTCTTTGTAAGTAAGGTGATCATCGAATTTCCGAACCATAACAAAACCTAGAATTTGTGCTTTGTATTTGTAATTTAATGGGACACCATTAGCACCAAAACAACGTGACTGCAGACCCAAAATATAACTTGACCCTGTTGCCCATTCACCACACAGACACTTATATATGATGGAAAGGGCAATGGCCACAGCTTTATTAACAATATAACATAACATCCTATAACCAGGCCGTCTATATTCATTAACAAACTGTCAGCTCTTGTGGGGTGGGTGGTAACCCAACAGTCAGTTAACCCCAAGAGCCATCGGCAACCTGCACATGCCATCAGCCTCGCTTGCAGACTGCTACTACCCAAGTCCCGACTGGACAATCCGGTCTTCTCCGTTTACTGCGCTGGCCAGGAATCTCCACTGTGACAATAAAAACAAACCACACAAACAGAAAAAACAACACAATATACACTTGCAATAGCAATCCAGTTTGTTTTTTTTATTTTGTTTTTTTTAAGGCTCCCTCAACTGCTCAGCACAGACTGAAATTCCCTACCCAGCAACCAACTCAAAAAAACGTAGGAACCATGGTTACATTGTATCGCTTTTGGATGGACATCTCTAACCTCTATTTTGAGATGTAATCATGCCCCCCCTTCCCCCATTTTGTCCAGGGTGTTTTATTTAGCTTAACGGAGTGATCAAGTGTATAGATCATGATCTAAATTAATTTTTTGTTAATGTGATCCCTTTACCCCCCCCACCCAACTCTATACCAATTTCACCCCTTACCATATGCTTTCACTAACTTTAACCATACATCTCCTCTAACCTTATGCCTAACCTTAACCGTACACTATCCCTAACCCAACCAACATTAACCCTTACCCTACACTAATAGTGACTTTAACCCTAACTCAGAGGGACTACCTCTGGTGACATCAGTACTGATATCAGCAGAGGGATTTTCCAGTTCAAACAGTACAGAGGGCTATGTGAGTGAGCTGTACTGTGTGGTTGCAGCATTAAAGGGAGACCCCTCCCTCTGCATGCTGTCCCTGGCAACCACTATGTAATCGATACTGGACAGCACGCATAGCCCAGCCCAGTGGCGATCACTATCAGATGGGGACATGCCATCAGCCTCGCTTGCAGACTGCTACTACCCAAGTCCCGACTGTCAGGGTTCTTCAGACCATGGGGGCCTCCCACTGTCTTGGTCATTGTAGCTTCCTGTGATTGTTCAGCCGTAGTAATTTTAATGGTTTTAATTGGCTGTTTGTAGGGCTCACTATGAGCACTGCATACAGATCATCGGACATTTTGGGGCTCCTATATATGGTTGTAGCTGATAGAGGGGAGCCCCAGATATCCAGGGATTCAAACCCACTTCCAACCAAAAATGCAGAGCATTCCATACAGTCTTAATGACATTAAGGCCACAGAACAACCTAACTGCATTTAGAGGTGAACATTTTGTCAATATTCTCTGCTATAAAAATGTAAAGCATTAGTTTAAACAAGCATTAACAAAAGGTGGTCTGTATCACAGAAATATCGCAGAATGAGGCTTATTTTTAAAACTGCTGAATGCAGGGTAGCCACCTATGCTGACAATCTGCTTTTCTTCCTCGATAATCAATTGATCTCATTACCGAACCTGTTGGCCAGATATCCGGGAATATGACCTCCTTTTAAACCTGAAGCTCAATACAGATAAATCAGAGGCTTTGCCGCTCACGCTACCCAGGAGAGAAATAGACCAACTCAAGGCGCAGTTCCCCTTTAAATGGTGTGTGAACCGTATTAAATATCTTGGCATATGACACACCTCTACCAGGAGAACTTTGTGCCCATTCTCCGCACCCTACAAGCTGATCTTGCGAACTGGGGTAGCCTCTGCATCTCGTGGTTTGGAAGGATCAACGCCCTGAAACTAAACTTACTGCCGCGACTGCTCTACCTCTTCCAGACCATCCCAATTTCTATACCTAAGGAGTTCTTTCAGTCACTCACCACCTCGATGATTGGGTTTGTCTGGAGATCAGCACCCCCCAGGGTGACCCGAGCGCTCCTGTCTCTCCCCAAACGAATGGGAGGGGTGGGCCTCCCATCGATTCCCCTGTACTACAAAACCACACACCTGCTATGCATAGTGGATTGGCACACAAGGGGAAAATGCTCAAGTGGGACAGAAGCTACCCTCAGCTGTATGGACGACGAACCCCCTCAAAGACCCCAAGATCAGCCAAAATCCCCTCATCCGGGCTACCATGAAGTTATGGATGGCTACGCGACTGAGAGACACGCTCACCACGATCCCGTCCCCCCTGACGTCACTGACCCACAACCCAAAAATAGCAGGCGGTCTGCCGCCCAAAGATGTCGCAGAGCTGGGCGGTTCAGACTGGACTTACATGAAACAGCTCTGCTCTGCTACGAAACTTAAACCCCTACTGGAACTGGCCCCAGACGGCACCCCCTCGCACATGGGGAGATTTGGGTACCACCAGATTCAACATTATTACCAATCCATCACAGGGAGCTTACCGAGTTTGAACGGCAATGCGCATCAAGAGACCGACCCGTAAAAGGGATAACTCCTCCCTGTTGCTCACCTCATTGCCACACACACCCAAAGTACATGTCCCACTGAGAACAGGCCACAGGATGCACACTAACGGACTCACAATGGGAAAAAATACACATCCTAGCGCACCAAGGCACTATTAGCACCAAAGTGCAGGAGCTCAACTATAAATTCATTGTTAACTGGTACCAGACCCCAGTCCGACTTCATCGCATGAATAGTGAACTTCCCGACGCGTGCTGGAGATGTGGGACCGAAACAGGGATGGACCTGCATATCTGGTGGTCGTGAACAAAAATTGGCCCATACTGGCAACTCATACATTCCAAGATTACCGAAATCTTAGATTCGGACCTGCCCTTTCAACCCCTGCCGATGCTGTTACATCATACAACACTTTCTCTTTCAAAGTACAAGCACTCTCTCACAAGACATTTCCAAAACGCGGCCAAATCCCTTATCCCGCTCAAATGGCACACTGCAGATCCACCGACCATCGAACAGTGGATGGACTGGATCGAAGACCTGTATAGTATGGAGCCTCGTTGCGTGGCACTTCTAAGAAATGCACCCTAATGTGGGCCCCATGGTGCACATACATGGAGCAAAATGCACCGTAAGGGGTCCCAAGGCCTATGCCCCCCGCAGGTGGAGATTAAGTGGACATCAGGTTCCCCCACAGGGCCGGACTTCTCGTGAGGTTGACCGGACCCTCAATGGAGGTACGGGAGCCCGACGAGACAGTGCAGATACCGGAGGGAGCCTGGTTGTGCAATCACCAAGGGGAGTCGCAAACCACGCTGGACAGTGTGAGGCTGCGAGAAGTGGCATCTTTCTTTTTTTTTTTCTTCCCTCCCTTTTTTCTCTCTCTTCCCATCTTTCCCCTCCCCTCTTTTCTCCACCCCAGTCCTTCTCCTTCTTGACGTAAGCACGTGGGGCGGCCTAGGATGTGGGGGGTTTCTACACTCCCATGTCCTTATCCCAAGTTATCTGATTTGACTGAAGGGCGCTACTCAGTGACTAAACAACTTGACCAATCCACGCAACCCCACCAAACAATGGGACGGTAGCAAATTATCTTATGTACTACCTGGTACACCCTAAGACTGACTCATTAACCAGACATGACAGCCCTACCAGTGACACAACCGAGACAGCCCCATTCCTAGGTCCTAGTGGCTCACACACGGGTTTAGATGCGGGACACAAGACCCATACGTGTACCACAGTTCTACCCACTCAGCACCCAAAGCCAGGACAGTTCCTCTGGTGTGGACAAGCAAGCAGTTTTAACAGGCAATGCCACTATGACAGTATGTTTACATAGCTGTCTATTACATGTGTTTCCCACCTACGAGTGACCCACTGAACGTTAACCATGCTTTCTTGAAAGGTGCACGGAATTGGAAATAGACAAAAATTCAGATAGCCTAGGGGGTGGACAGGGGGGAGGGGAGATGACCAAGCATGGAAAACCTCAATTTCAAGGAGATAAAGATAATGAATGATTCTCTTGACAAATTTGCCACCATGAGATTAACTGAGATACCCCCTTTTCCTTCCAACACTGCAAACAATAGTAAATTGTCACAACGTAGCTACTCAGTCTTGGTAATATACCACCAATACAACAATGTGACCAATGATCTAGCACCGACCTAAAGCTTGCTTTTTGCTATCGGAGGAATGAATGTCAGTTTCTCGTAAAATCTCATCAAAATAGTAAGAGGCATTTGTTAAAATTCAGCATGTGTTTATTTTTGTATAGGATCTGTAACACTCACACTGTTACTACTTGTATCGTCTACCCCATGAATATGTCTACATGTGCTCTGTATTTGTCAAAATTGCGACCCACTCAAAAATAGAGATTGTCTAAAAAAAAAAAAAACTGCTGAATGCAGTGATCACACAAGGGTCAAATCAGCCATTACTGATTTTTTACATTAGCCAGCTGTAGTTGTTATGGGGCTTGGAGTGTTAAGTATTAGTCTGATCAAGGTGTCAGTGCTGTCTCTAATTAGATTAAATAGTTTATTTAACATAGTACACGTCTCAAACCCATTCTGATCTCTTTGTTCCTTAAACTGTAAACAATTGGGTTGAATATAGGTGTAAGTACTGAGTAAATAACTGCAAGAACACGATCGTAGTATAAAGAATAACTCTTTGTGAGTCTTACATACATAAATACAATACATGTAAAAAACACTAGTACTACACTCAAATGTGACACACAAGTGGAGAAGGCCTTTGCTCGTCCTGTTTTTGTGCTTATTTTCAGTATAGCAATAATAATCTTAGCATAGGAGATCATTATGAAGAAAAACGGCAACAAAATAAAAAGGCTATTGGTTGCAAAGTCAACCAAAACATTGACTGTAGTCTCTGTACATGCTGAATTTAGAACTGGTGGTAAATCACAGATGATGTGATGAATTTCATTAACGCCACAAAAGGAGAGTTTAGATATTAAGATAATTTCGGCAATGGGGCAAATTAAACCACAAGTAAAACTGATAGATACCATCTGTATGGTCATTTTAGATGTCATAATAGACTGGTAGTGTAGAGGGTGGCAAATAGCCATGTAACGATCATATGCCATGCTTGTCAGTAGATAGCACTCGCTAGATCCAAGGGCATGGAAGAAATAGATCTGTAAGAGGCAACCGATAAAGGAAATGTTCATTCTTGGTACAAGAAGGTTAATGAGCATTGTTGGAATGGTGGTAGCAGTATAGCACAGCTCTAAAAAGGAGAGAACACTGATAAAAAAGTACATAGGGGTGTGGAGTCGCAAGTCCATTCGGATGATCACCAATACAAGTAGGTTTCCAAAAATGGTAAGGAGATAGACAAGCAGAAGACAAGGAAAAATAAATGGACCATATTGGTTTAGCGTTGGAAAACCCAAAATTATAAACTCAGTTACTTGACTTCTGTTGTTGAAATCCATGTTTTTTTCTATGGTGAAATAAAATTCAAGAGATTAAGCATTTATCAGAAGACTATACATATATTTTAACATTCAATGGACAGTATGTTTAGACTCTGGACATATAAGAATGAGCTCATCAACGGGTACTATAAATGATAAGTAGTATAGCCTGTGATATTTCTATTCTTGACAAGCTAAATAAAGAATAAGTGTTGTACTCAACCATATTTGAATGAGCAATGTGCAAAAATATTGTTGAGTATGACCATATTTGTATGCTGAATGACCAAGTAGAACTATGAAGATCATCCCTATCTCAATTAGCAATATGACTGATTCTTCTGACAAAATATGCATGTATTCTTAATAAGCAACAACAATAGTTATAAGTACTGAGCTTTGCCATGTCCTTATACTTGATCAGCCATGTAGAATACTTTTCTGCCAAACCATATTTGTTTCCTTGATTAAGTATTGGGGGTTAACACCATATCTCTGACTTCCATGTTTAAAATTAACACAATATTTGTTTCAATATTTGAATACTGATATTGGTATCCTGTATACACACTATGCAGGATTTTACCCAGTTATAGCTTTATGTCTGAGGATTGGTTGATGACATATTTATTATCTCAATAAACAACACAGGAAAATAAGAACTGCACAACTAAAGAAATAAGTTACTGAAGGCAATAAACAAAAGTCCATGCTCTGTGAAGTGCACAGAATTTTAATTGAAATGTATCTGGATTCCAGGAGAAGGGTGTACAGGTTCTGTATGTGCTGAAGACTGAAGTTAGATTAAAAATGCTGAATTCCTCATACAAGAGAAAAATAATGTCTCAATCCACAGGATATTATGGAAAGAAAGTGGCTCTTTATTGTAGTAGTGGCATCTCACCTACAGCGTACATGGAGAAGGGATGAATCAGTCTGACGCGTTTTGCGCCCAAGACTTGTTTTCTGAGGAAATTCTTCAATAACAAGGTACTCACATCCTAGTCATTTCTGAATCTTTTAAATCTGAAATTCAATTTAAAACATGTTAGTTATGTGCAGCTCTTATTGTTGAACAAGAAAGCAGAATTCCTCATAAAAGAGAAAATAAAAGCTCAAGCCACAGGAAATCAGTTAAATAAATGGGAACTTTATCTTTTCCCCATGTACGCTATAGCTGAGATGTCCTGTGATTTCCTGTGGATTGAGTTTTTCTTTTTTTCTTTTATGAAGAATCTGGCATTTTTATTAAAGGACCACTCTAGGCACCCAGACCACTTCAGCTTAATGAAGTGGTCTGGGTGCCTGGTCCATCTAGGGTTAACCCATTTTTTCATAAACATAGCAGTTTCAGAGAAACTGCTATGTTTATGAATGGGTTAAGCCTTCCCCTATTTCCTCTAGTGGCTGTCTCATTGACAGCCACTAGAGGCGCTTGCGTGCTTCTCACTGTGATTTTCACAGTGAGAGCACGCTCAGCATCCATAGGAAAGCATTATGAATGCTTTCCTATGTGACCGGCTGAATGCGCGCGCAGGCTTGCCGCGTGTGCGCATTCAGCCGACAGGAGGAGAAGAGGAGGATCGGAGGAGGAGAGCTCTCCGCCCAGCGCTGGAAAAAGGTAAGTTTTTACCCCTTTCCCCCTTCCAGAGCCGGGCGGGAGGGGGACCCTGTGGGTGGGGGCACCCTCAGGGCACTATAGTGCCAGGAAAACGAGTATGTTTTCCTGGCACTATAGTGGTCCTTTAAACAATAAGCAATGCATCCTACTATATTAGAATGTTTTAAATTGAGTTTCACTCTAATAAGATTCATAATTGACTAGGACAGGAGTAGGCAACCTATGGCACTAATGCCATGCATGGCACTAGGGTGTCTTTCCACGGCACTCAAGGCTGCTAGAGCCAAACAGGCTCTGGCCTATCAGGAGTCTCAGTGAAACTTCAGATATCTGCTAATACGAAAAGGTGGTGAAGGAACATCCTCAATTTATGCATTGCAGAACGTAGAGTAAGTGATCTCAGATCAGTTCCTCCCAGCACTTGTGAATGGGAATCCAC